AGCAATAAAATAGAGAAAATATTCTTCATTTTGAATGGTTTTGATAAAATCAAACAATTATTAAATATTTAATAGTTTAGCATAAATTTATCTAAATATTAGTTATTTATTGAATGAGGCACAAAAATATACGTGTTTTACTATCCATTTTCAAATATGTTGCTTTTTTAAAAGCTTTTTAATTCGGATGTTACGAAATTCAAATTTAATCTATTGTAACATCAAAATGCTTTTTTTCTTGGTATTGATTTATGTGTTCAAGAGAAAATTTTTTAAAAAAACTCGTTTAATCTCAGCAATTTTATAATTCAAAAACAAAACAACTAATTCATAGCAAGAACAAAATTATAAAAAGAGTAGAGGGATTTAAAATACCTTTTTTTATTTGAAATGAGAAAAAAAGTATTCTGAAACCAGGGCTTTTCAAATTAGAACTGAACCAAAAACCGGAAAAACCGTTATTTTTGTCGGAGCAGAAACCAGAACTGAACCGAAAAAAAACTATCGGTTTATTCAGATTCCATATATCTTCAGTCAATTCGTGACTGTAACCAACTTATCAATGTTTTCGAATATATCACCAACCATAAAATTATCATCATTATTTGTGTATTGCATCTCGATTTCCTGTATTAATGTTCAATAGTACTTTTTTATTTTAGTTTCACTCGAAACAACTTGTAGAAGGTAGATTTAGTTCAATTGAATGAACTAGAAGTATAGAGGATTTATGACAAAAAATTTACATAAATTAAAATTATTCATTCGGAATTGAACCGAAAACCAAAAACCGCTATTATAGCTGGAATGAAAACCAGAACTGAAAAAATATAATATTTTTAGTTGAAACTGAAAGATAACCAGAGCGAAAAAAAAATTACGGTTCGAATTCCTGTCTGAAACGGAATATGTAGAAAAGACAACACAGTTGGCCATTTAGAATAAACAAAAATAATCCAAAATTGGTATAAAATGTAACTTTATCACTTATCTCTGAAGGTATATTTAACTTAGCTTCCTCAAGTAGAGTTAAAAATGCCCAATACATTACAAAATAAAGTCAAAGAAATCAGAATATTTATTACGCATTCATATGAATGAGAATTTTAAGAAATTAGCAATATTTACCTTTAACTTTTCAAAGTATCTATTAGTTAATTATGTATCATAAGTCTCAAAAAACTTTAAAAGGATTTTGATTAATAAAGAAACAAATATATGTAGAACAGAACGAAAAAGATCGTGTTATGTGAAGGATATGGTATATCTACTTCTATTTTTATTTTTCCAAAATGGAGAATAATAATTAAAATTTACTTGGGTAAAATTTCAAGCTGGACAACAGATATTTCTGAAAATACACGAGGTACATTTACAAAACTTCACGAGTTTTTTAACCCAACCGTGAACCCGATGGAATATTTTATAAAGTATTTTTCTCTCGCACTCTCTGTCTGAGAAATCATTAAAATATGTTTTCTTGAAGGGATGAAAGAGATGATGTTTTTGGATAGGGGAGGGGGATGTCCGCTTCCGTTTTCATTTTCTTGACGTCATGTAGCGAATACTTCTGCATTTCAAAAAATGAAATGCCGCTGAAAATGATAAAGAACGATCTCCGCATCACAAAACAACATGTAAAATGTGTCCGGTGAGAAGAAATATGTTTCCAGCGGAGCAAGGAAAATGTGTATATTGGTAAGAAAATTGGAAAACAATCATAAAATGCGTTTTGCTTTCTTTCTTTTTAAACTTATATTTATTCATTGCTTTAAGGTATCCGACTACGTTTGGAACCGTGATTTTAAAAAGTGCATAAATGGATAATTTTCGTGATATTTAGTGTCACTCAGATTAGAATACATGTATAAAATTGTTTTAGGGACATTTTGACAAAAAAATTATTTAAACACAATATTTCGGCAAAAAATTAACTTACAGTAACCTTTTTTAAAATGTTCTCCTTTTGTTAAAAATGCTTCTGTTATAATACTATTTTGCCTGCATATAGCTCAGACCTCTGCACAGAGGCTCAACTATGAGTTTTGAAAAATTCACATGATTTTCAGAGTTACAACCCATTGAAATAATTATCAGCTATTTTTCTTAAAATCTCTCCCTTCTGTTGTCGTAAAACATGGATAAACCCACTTCTAAGTTATATATTTTAAAAATTCTAGTTGAGCCTTTGTACAGAGGTCTGAGCTATATGCAGGCAAAATAGTATTATAACAAGCATTTTTAACAAAAGGAGAATATTTTGAAAATGGGTCATTTTAAGTTCATTTTTTGTCAAAATATTGTGCTTAAATAATGGTTTATTGTAATAATATTCTTAAAACAATTTTATATACATTTTCTAATCTAAGTGACACTAAATATCATAAATAGTATCCATTTATACGCTTTTACAAAATCACGGTTCTGAACGTTGTCGGATACCTTAATTTTATCAAGGAATTACTTCAAACTCGAATTCGTATATTCTTTCATAAATTTAAATATTATACAACGGAAAGGTAAATAAAAGTTGACAAGTGTTTTAAGTTTTACTTTTTTTTTTAACATATTTTTCCAGTATAACCAGAAATGCAAATGCTGATAAAAAGCGCCATTCATGTTTATTTACTTTTATTTGCCATTTATCAATACTTCGTTTAAGGATTTCCCAGTAAAAATGGAGCACAGAATTCATATATTTTTGCTATGTATTTTTCCCGTTGTATAATCTAGTTTTGTAAATAATATCATTTATGTAGTAAATGGTCTGTATGATAAACATTTTTCGAGGTTATCAATAAACATTTAAACTTCTAAATTTAAGAGTATATAAAAAAAGATTACATAACAAAATATATTATTATCTTCCCTTTCTTTTGATTATCCTAGTCCATCAAAACCTCCAAACCTTTCAGGCCATCGGTTTTTCAAGCAATAAAAACATGTAAAAATATATTGGGATGACTTCAAAATATTTCATGCGAATGTAATTTGAAGGAATAAAACCTAATATTTTATTCTTGAACTATTTTCTTAAAAACGAGAGACTGGTTCATATTTAATCCATTATTCATAGCTATTTTACGAGAGATATCGTGCCTCAATGAGGTTCTGTTCATAGTCAGCTGTATACGTAAATTATTAGCTTTTTTATCACAAAATTTCAACAATTCACATTAATACAATAACTATAAATACATCCAATGTACGCTAAACAGTTAAAAATAACAAGGCAGTTAACATTTTAGACATTCTTTCTTATCTCTAGAGAAATACAGAATTTGAATAAATGCCTTATAATTTTGGCTAGAGGGGGAAATGCTTAAATTCACATTTTCCAATTAATTTTAAGTGACCTGAGCATTTAGTGGAACACGAATAGATATAAGTAGAACAGAAAAAAAAATACAAAAAACAAAAATTCTTTTTGTGTGATTTCCTAGCTTTATAGAAGTTGGAAATAATTTGTTACTTTCACAAATCATTTAATGAGATTTTTTGTGTCTGTTTGAATTTGTGTGAAAATATCACTTGTGGTTGATAAAAAAATAGATTTTTCCTTTTTCCTTGTGTTTTTTCAATTCCTACTATTTTATATATTTCGCATTTCGCACTCTCCCTATATATATATATATATATTTATGTGTATATGTTGTTTAAATTTTCAATCGCTAATAAAATATTTTTACTCATCCATTGAAGTTCAAATACATTTTTTAAACTTGTAATGGAAGTCACTTGATGTTAATACAGTTTTTTCAAATATTAATTCATTAAATAAATTTAATTAAGTAGAATAAATTTTTTCTTGTTGACCCAAGTAGGAATTATATTATTATTTTTACATTACTTGTTTATATATATATATATATATATATATATCTTGTTCAAATTTTCAGACTTTAATAAAATACTTATTCATCCACTCAAGTTCAAATACATTTTTAAACTTGTAGTCGATGACACTTGATGTTAATACAGTTTTTTTCAAATATTAATTAATTAATTAAGTTTAATTAATGAATAAATAGTAACAAACAAAAATAATAGTCCAGCACCATATATAAAAAGGAAAATTGCTCGTTGTGTCCATGTAGTGCAGGGTTGTCCAGCACGCGGCCCGCCAGTACGTAAATTGGGTTCCGCCGACTTTTTAAAAAAAAAATTTATGTATCATGTTTTTAAAGTTTTTTTCGTTTTGAAATTTATTTGAGGGTAAATTTATATACATATATATATATATATTATATATATATATATATATATATATATATATATATATATATATATATATAAATCTACAATGTATTTGCCTGTTACCTGTTCTTGTTTTAAAATAAATCCTTTTTGATAATAAAAATGTCCTTTAGATTAAAATAGATTTATATTTTATCAAACAGTTACATTTGATTTTCCTATAATAAATTACTTTTTAATAAATTCCGAATTGCATTATGCGTATCCTTTACTATGGATGGTACATGATTCTCTGTGTGTGCGACTTTCATTTCTCCTCCTCCTTTTCTGCTTGCATTGCCTAAACAGCAAGAGGCAGTCAGAGATGTTTTTTAAAGTTTAAAAAAATATTCAGCTTGGTTAAGGTAAAGGGCAATGTATGCTTAATCACTTGCGAATGACAGAACTATCAAATTTCAAGAATGAGTAACGAAAGAGATCAATTCAAAAGAAACACCGTAATTTTCAAGAAAATGACATTTGTAATATTTTAAACATTATTTGATTATTGCATTATTATATTATAAAAACATTATTTGATTATTGCATTATTATATTATAAAAACATTATTATATTATCTATGTCTGTATACATGAAAAATAATGAAAACAAAAATAATAATTCATTCTGTTTGAGATTTACACTCAATAAATGTTTTTTCGTTTCCGAATCTGATATAAAGGTACATAATTTTATGTGCGGCCCGCGAGATTATAATGTTTTTCCGAAGTGGCCCGCAAGGTCATTTGGGTTGGACACCCCTGATGTAGTGCAATGAATAGCACGTTGAACTTCAAATCCAAACGTCGTTGGTTCGAATCCGACCTGAGATGTCTTAATTTCTAAGAATGTATCACGGCACTGCTATCAAATTTATCAAAGCTTAGAGTTTCATTGACCACATACTAAATATTACACTAAAATTTATAAGTACAAAATTTGCTAAGTACAGTTACAGTCTAACATGGGTCTTGTTAGAATATTAGTAAATGTTATATAAATCAATTTAGTCATCCTGTGCCTTATGATTAAAGATTAAATTTTGTGAAAAAACGCTTCGATTTAGTTTTGTGTGTATTTTTAGAAAAAAGTTAGTTATATTGCTTAACTGCTCATGCTTCGACTAAAAGTTAGCTAAAATAAAGTTGATAACACATAGTTAAGTAATGAGGTATTATTATTGTAAGACGAGACCAGAATGAAGCGAAATTTATTAATATTTCAATGTGTTTTCTTTTTTCAAATGTTTACCAATATTAAATTCAATTTTATTTATTTAAGTGAATAGTTTAGAGTAAGTAAAATGTCATTTCAGAACAGTTTACACAAACTCCTATAAATTTATTACTTATCATAAATTTCCATTAGTTTTCAGGTCTTCATCAAGTTTACTTTCAATAGTTTTCAGATTTTCATTAAGTTTAGTTTCATTTGTTTTCAGATTTTGGGTTTCTTTAGTTTCTTTAGTCATAGAGAAATCCTGCTGAGAGAACGAAATTATTTTATTCTTCTACAAACCCTTACCAACAATTTATCTACGTATCAAAGACTTAAACTTTCATTCAAAGCAAACATTAAAAAAGTTATTTTACTTTAAAAAATACTGGACATATATATATATATATATATATATATATATATATATATATATATATAAATTCATAGCTTTTAAAAAACATTACGTTGTGTGACAAAGTTATGAGAATCGTGACTTCATGCATTTAACTTGAATATTTTGGAAGAGATAAAACTTTTTTCCCTTAAAAAAGTGAGTTAAACATGTTCTCATTAGTCAAACACTCAAAAACGAGTCTTACAACACATTAAAAAATGCTGTAAAATCTCGTTAGAAAACAAAATAATGGAATCACGTATACGCAACGCTCGTCTATTGTTATTCTTAAAAAAAATTGTTACACAAAAGAATGGAATAAAATTTCATAATCATTTACTTTTGGAAATATTCTTAATTAATGATGACATTTAAGCTCTGCCATTAACGCAGAATCGTGAAATAGAGCCTTAGTCTAGAATTTAATGATGCCACATTATTAAGCATAATAAGTAATATTACATTCAGATTGGAAATAAATTTAATTGCGAATTAAAAAGATAAACACACAAAATGGGTATCTACTCGATCCTCAAAGTTATTTTACAATGCAAAATTATTTTTTTCGTTATTTGAAACCTGTTTTTTCTTTAAATGTACTTTTATTTTAAAGGTATGCTGACAATAATGATTATTTGTAGGTGAAATCCTATAAAAATCCTATCAAAATGAAAAATAAAAAATGCATTTGTTGGTTAATTGGATATATAACACAACGTGCTTGAATAGAAAGAAGAAGCATCGTTTCTGAAAAATACAATCATTCACAATATATTTAAATAAATAATGAATCTCTTTGTTGGAGGACTTTCCTGTGTCTGATTTAAATTGAAATGGCAAATTTGATTTAAATGAATTGAAATTTCATTAAAACACAGAAAGCGAAAGTGAGATGAGACTGTTTTTTTTATTTTATTTCCCGAGAAATTATTCTTGATAAAATGATTTTTATTTCAGTTTTGTGTGTCCTTAGATTAATTCTTTCTATCCCCATTCATGAATAATCAATATGAGTAATCGTTAGCCTTCAACTTCTATCATGTTGATCTGTTCAGCGACACGATGTATTCCAATTCGCCTCTTATAAATTTTGATTCAAACAGTGCGGAATTTAACAAATTCTTTAGTTGATAATATGTTAGTATGGAATTTGTATAAGCGCATTGTACAATTTAACAAATTCTTCAGTTGATTATATGTTTTCACGGAATTTGTAAGTGCATTGTGCAATATAACAAATTCTTCTGTTGATAATATGTTTGTATGGAATTTGTAAGTGCAGTGTGTAATAATTTAACAAATTCTTTAGGTGATAATATGTTTGTAACATATATTTTGTTATATATGTTACCGGCAAAGTATGAAATGCCGGCATTCTATAGAATGCCTGACGATTTTAGGCAAAGTATGAAATAGGAGAATTATTATATACTTTGCCTAGGCATTGTATAGAATGCCCAAATCTATTTAGGCAAAATATGAAAAAAGGTCAAGATAAGGCTTTTATATCAATGACGCACATTCCTAAAAGTACAAATGTTATTCTGAAGAAATAATGAGAATGTCATTAAAAAATTATACATAAGAACACAAAATGAAAGTTGTACCAAACAAATTTTTTGTCTTTCTTATTAAAAAAAGGAAAACAAAATTTTCCCCTATAAAAAAATAAGAAATTAAAATTAACCTACTCGTTGCAACATGATAGGTTTGAATGGTATTTCGAATTACACTTCATTACATTTTTCGCGCAAAAATAATTCTTATTTTTATAAATGTAATTTAAAAATGCCATACATTTAACACGAACTTTAAATTATACTCGTTTCAGTAAATTAAAATAAAATGAGAAATGTATACATATTGCCTCAACACATAGAACGATAAATTAATTGTATTTGGAATAATCATTTTAAATTATATTCACCGATACTTGTATTTAGCTAGTTGTAAAGCTGTTTAAAATCCGAAATTAAGTAAATCATTATATTAAGATACTCATAAAACTATTATTTATTAATTTCAATAGCCTCACCTACAGTTTTCTGAATGTTCTTATAGCATGCCTACTACTTTTCGCCCTTCCTGTCACAACTGCAGCAGCTAAAAGGTTTTCAAAACTAAAAATTATTAAAAATCATCTTATATCTTTTATAGTCCAAAATCGGTTTTCGGATTTAACAATATCATCACCAGAAACAAATAAACTTGAAAAACTAAAATCATCTGCTATGGATATTATTATAAATGAATTTGCCGAAAAAAAAATCGATAAAAGCACCTATTAAACAACTGACAACAAGCTAGTTTTTAAGTAATAAAGTTTTTCAATACATATGTCCCTGTATACTTATTTTGACACTTTCGAATAAGTTTTTATCAATGCGGTCATTTTTATTTATTTTTCAAAAAGGGCCCCCAACGAATTTTCGATATGGGGTTTACTCAGGGCTTTTTACGCCAGTGTGTCGCACAGGGGGGGAAAATTAATTTTTTGTTGAACAAATTTAAGTAAAATTAAAAGCATTTTGATATTCCCGAATAAGTCACAAAGCGCAACGGACAAATTCAGAGCCTGAGGCTAGGGTTATAAAGTCTCGAGTCTTGCCACATAATATTCGAAACAAATCGGAGATGTATTTCACAATTTGAAGGTTTCTCATTAGGCATTCTATATAATGCCTAGGCAATGTGTGAAATATTAATTATTTCACACATTGCCGGTTAGTTTTAGGAATTCTATACAATGCCTAGGCATTGTATAGATTTCATACTTTGCCGGTAACATATACAATGAAAAACCAAAACATTATGAAAACCGACTCACTAACATGTTGCAACACTTTCTGTCAGCAAAACAGCTGCAACTAGCATTGCCATGGATCCGACAAGTTTTTCGTAAATGACTGGGGACTGATTGTACCAATAAGCAATGGTCACGTAAAATCGAGATATGCCGACATTAAAATGCTTGATCTTTAAACTGCCTTTCAATAAAAATCCTAATGTGCTCTATCAGAATAAGATTCGCTGAGTTAGGTGGATATGATATTAATTTGAATTCATTCTTATTCTCCTCGAACCCTTCTAACACAATTCTAGTCTTTCGACATGGGACGCTGTCCTGCTGGAAGATTCCATTTCCTGTGGAAAACAGACGTCATATAAGAATTCAACTGATTCGTAAATTTTCTCAGATTGTCTACAGCTTTCACGGTTCCTTCTACCAGAGCTAAGGGTCCTAAAGTTACCCATGACAAAGTTCTTCAAAGCATAATACCACAATCACCAGTCTGTGAACATGGAGAAAGCAACTGTTCGACTGTGGAAGACGGCACACTTTGTCACAACCATTGGAATTGGAAACCATTAAATAGAAAAAAATTGGGCAGTAATAAGCTTTTAAGGCTGCTTTTCAAAAATTTAGCTACCTTGCATGTTTAATATTTGAAGACAAGTACACTTTTTTCCTTACCGGTTAGTCATTTCCATTGGTTCATCATCTACAGACTGAATACACATCCTAATATATATTATAAATGCGAAAGTTTGTGAGGATGTTTGGGCGTCTTTCACGTAGAAACAACTGAATGGATTTTAATGAAACTTTACAGTAATATAGCTTATGCATCAGAATAACAGATAGGCTATAATTTATAGTATAGACTATAATTTATAAAGATATTGTGTGAAGTGTCCAAAATATAAATATATTTGTCAAGTAAATAGGAAAAAATCCTGCCATCTACAAGCAATTCTGGCGTGCGCTGTAAAAAGGTCCGTGACAGCATATTTGAAAAAACACTTTTTGTTTTGTCTACGCAAGGCGCTGGCTTTTAATTTGTTCCAGTGATCAGTGTAATCTCTATTTTTTATTTCAGGAAAAAACTAAGTTTTGAAGGGAGAGGTTGTTTTAAATCCCTCTTTGTATGCTACAATTAATTTTTTTCATGTGTGAACCATAATGGATTGATCCTTACATCAAAATAAATACTTTTATCGCTTCTGGTACTAAAAAAAAATAAATTTGTCTTTCACACCACATAATTTGGACAAATTTGTATAATTTGTTTGTGGTTAGTAGTTAATTATAACACTACAATTTAAATTGAATAGGCAGATATTGCATTTTTTAAAAATAATAATAACTACTGTATTGTATTTTTTGGAGTGAATGAACATTAACGTCGCACTGTTCAGCTACACGAGGGCTTTTCGCGA